TGCAGCATCAGTGGCCATCTTAAGGCTCCACCCCAGAGCTTCTGGTCCCATTGGGAAGCATCTGGGACACTCATCAAATGACAAGAAAGCAGAACAGAGGGCCTCGATCAGGAGAGACCCAGAGAGGGTGTCCAGGCCCAACATGGCATTAGGGAGCGTTCCCTGGAGGTAAGAGTGCCCAAGCAGACATTGGAGGCTGAGGAGAGATTAGCCAAGGAAGATGTAGGAAGGAGAGGACAGGTGGAGGGGTCCTGACACATGCAGGATTCAAATGCATGTGAGAGCATGGAATTTTGAAGACCTGAGGCAATCTAGGAGTGGGTATTAAGGCCCACTGGGAGCTAGTGGGGAGAGGTGGCCTAGGGATGGACCTATGCTAGGGGAGCCTGGCTGTCTGTAGCAAATAGAGGATGCTTCAGCCTTTGCTTGCTTCAGGACTGACTTCCTGAAGCTCCTCGGACTAGGGATCAGGGGGCCCTGTCTGGAGAGGGGTCTAGCAGAAAGACAGGACACCCTTCCTTCCAAGACCCTGGAGGACTGTGGGACTGCCCTGGGCTGTTTACTATCAGGAGGGTGGCCAAGTCTGCCAGGGCTTTGGGGTTTTCTTATAAATGTTGCTGGAGGGAATAGAAAACAGTGTTCCTTGCCAATCTGGGAGATGCAGGACAGATGTGTGTATGTGTATGGAGTGTGGAATGGGCTGTCTGAGCCCTGAATTTGTAACCAAACCAATTCCTGACCCTTCCCTGGAAAGAAGTGGCCCTGGACTCGCCCCAGGACATTTCACTAACACCCTGGATCCAGTCCTTCTTCCCCAGGCTCTGGAGTCCAGAGGAACAGGTGACTCCGAGCAGCCATAGAGGGTCCCCTCTGGGATTGGCTAGGCTGGCTCCTTGACCACTTTCATTCCAACAGTGTTTGCAGGTTTCCATTGGCCACCATAGTCTTGAGACTTCTGTGAACTTTTTCTGTTTCACAGAATGATGGGAATATCAATTAAGAGGAAAATATCCAGGGCTGGAGAGATGACTCAGCCGATAAAAGTACTGTTGCTGTTCTCGAGGACCCAAGTTCAGATCCCACCACCCACCACAAGGCAGTTTATAGTCTCCTCTAACTCCAGCTTCAGGGGATCTGACACCCTCTTTTGGCCTCTGTGGGCACACACACACACACACACACACACACACACACACACACACACACACACACACACACATCTAAACACACACACAAACACAAAAAATCAGGTGTCTGTAGGGTGGCCTAGTCCCTAATGGCTCCCCATCTCCTACTAGACCAGTCATAACTGCTTCAAGGACTCGACCAACCCCAGGAGGCCTACTTTGAACTGCCACAATTGATGGCATCCTTCCTCTTCTATGTCTTTATAATGCCATCAATTGTGGCTGCATAAGGCAAAGCTGAACCTCTGGGATCTCAAAGTACAGACCAAGAAAGAATTCCTTAGTCCCTGAAGCCAAGGACCACAGAGTGCTCCAGAGTCCTGGGCAAATACCCTCTGTCCAAGCCAGATGTCACAAACACTGTACATCCTCCTACCTACCTGGCAAGCCCCTTCACAGTAGTATCCCTCTCTGAGACAGCAGTGGGAGGGTGGTGGTCATTGGGTCTCCCCCGCCTCTGCTACAGATGAGTATGGAGACCAGTAGCCACAGGAACAGGACAAGAGCATCACAATGGTGATGGGGAGGAGAAATGATAGGCTCAGGTCTTCTGGGTGCTGCTTCTGTCTGTATTGGTGACTATGAGCTCTGGAATGTCATGGACTGCACTTGTCTGAATCATTGGGCTGGCTGGAAGGAATAGGGTCTGATGACTGGAGAGTATGGATGATTCCAGAGGCAAAGAAGCCCCAGGGCCTGTAAAGTTACTAAAACTGATGGATGGATGGATGGATGGATGGATAAATGGATGGATGGATGATCAATGGACACTTGGAAGGATAAGTGAGTTAATGAATGAGTGAACAGTGTAAAATGGGTTAGATGAAGGCATGGATAGATAGGTGGATGAGTGTATAAGTGAATAGGTACATGGATGTGTGGGTTAATGGATGATAGTTGTATCAATGGTAGGTAGATGGTGGATAGATGGATGGGTGGGGAGATGGATGAATAAACAGATGGGTGGATGGATGGTAGATAGATGTATGGGTGGGTAGATGGATAGGTGGGTATCTGGGTGAATAGGTGGGTGGATGGATAGATGGGTAATGGATGAATGCATAGATCTATGGACAGATGGCTGGAGAGATGGATTGGTAGTTGGTGGCTGGCAGATGGCTGGCTAGAATGATGGATGGGTGGGTGGGTGGGTAGATGGATGATGTGGTGGTAGACAGTAGAATAAGCGCTTGGGACATTTCGGGTATGTATTTGTGGTATGAGAAATGATTCTAGAAATGACACTAGGGACTTCATAGACATAATTTTGTCATACATAGCTTGTGTCATCCACCAACTTGAGCTAAAGTAGAACATGGGCTTGGATTTTCATTTAGTCTTATCAGCCTTTTGACCTTGGCCAGGCCTCTCTTGCTCCTGGCTCTAGTCTCAGTTTCCCTGTCAGGAACATGAATGTTTGCAGGATGAGATGAGTTTCTGAGGATAGAGGCTTCTACAGTCTACTCGTCCCTCCTTTCCCAGGCTTAGTTCTAGATCCTGCCACGTGACTTCTTCTCCCACTCCCCAAATGTCAGGGTACAAAACAAGACAGGACAGAGGTTTCTGGGCCTCCTGTGTTTCTTCTCAGGTACAGGATGGAGACCAGCAGTTACAGGGGTGTAAGAGCTCCTCTCAGGCTCTGTCCTGTGGAGGATGGACTAAAGGGCTGCTGGGGCTGATGAAGGCTGCTCAGTGGGCCCCTGGCAGGCACCATGTTGAGTCACAGTGAGTCAATGCTCTCACTTCCTACCACACATTACTTCACTCATAGTGTCCATCCGTTGTGGCCACATCCCTGGAATATCCTTGGGCAGTTGTAAATGTGTGGGGTACTTAGCCAGGGATCTGGAGTAGACAGGGAGCTAGATGGCATGGCCTCCTGGGATGCAGAACCTTCTCCTGCCTTGCAGATCTATCACTATTGCTGGGCCACACATCCCTGGATGGGTGTGCAAGGTCCCTTCTTCCATTTGCCTCAGTTGAGACTTGGGGCACACTGTCTCCCCAGCTCACTGGAGCAAAAAAGAAGATGATTCATCTATCCTCCCTCCAGCTTTGTCCTCAGAATGTCCCTGGCCCTGTCATGGAGGACTAGCCTATCTTAAGGGAGGGCACCCTGGCTCACTCTCTGGCTAGGCTGCCTTCTTGGTATTTATTCAGTATGGCCACATCTCACATACCTCTAGGTTCTAGGCCTCCATGCTTCTGTCTGTAGGTTGTATGACAACGGCGTTCCTTTGTCCCTCCCAGAGGTGCCCATGGGTGCCCCTCATCTCCATAACTAGCAAGGCTTCCCTCAGGACTGGTGTCAGATGCTATAGGAAGACAGTTCCAGCAAGGCCAGCAGCTTGCCAAGTCTGAGCCTAGGTGATGCTCAGAAGTGGACTTCACAGTCTCCCCTCTTCTCTCTTACCTTACCCCTCCTCTTGTTCTCTGCCTCCAGCTACCACAGCCTCTCTGCTGACACTCAAACTGTGGTGGCTGTTTCCCACCCCACAGCTTTTGCATGTACTGCAGACACAAAGGTAGTTTCCTCTGAGACTCTCTCAGGTACACTTCCTGCTGTGTCTGATGTCCTGGAGCAGCGCTGGCTGACTGCAGTGTTTCTCCATCAGTCACCTGCTACTGCTATGGGGATGTTGCTCTCTGCTCACTGCTGTCTTCTATCCCTGTGACCACTCCTGGCATGCCCCAGGTGGTCAACAGATACATGCTGAACTAAGGGTGGAATGTCCCCCATGGGTTACAATATCACCTACATTCTGCTTGTGTGACTTCCTTAGAGCTGGGACCTGGTTCTTTCTTTCTTTGTTTGTTTGTTTTATTTTTTTGAGACATGGTTTCTTTGTGAAATAGTCCTGGCTGTCCTGGAACTCACTCTGTAGACCAGGCTGGTCTTGAACTCACAGAGAGCCTCCTGCCTCTGCCTCCTGAGTGTTGGAATTAAAGGGGTGCACCACCACTGCCTGGCTGGGACCTGGCTCTTTGTGACACCAAGATTTAGGCAGGGACAACTCCAGGGCAGGAGATGTAACAGTCACAGCACTCAGACATCCCATGCAGGTTGACAGCTGTGGGCCCCAGGGTGGGGCCTGGAGGGCCTGTGAGACTTCGAGGCCTGCTGGGGATCTCACACGTCTTTGGTCCAGCTTGAAGACTGCTGGGGAGCCAGTGGAAGCAGGAAGTGATGCTGTCAGTGTCCTCTTTGAAAGAAATCTCTTGCAAAAGGAGACTTGGGGTTGGAGCAGAACTTGGGGGTACAATAAAGGCCTGAAGTCCAGGCAGACTGCAGTCATTGTGCTTGGTGACCAGGTAATCTTAGATTCTCAGAGCTGCAGCTGTGGAAATCAGGGAGGAGGTGATGAAGAGGTAGCTTGTTGAGATTGCTATGAGCTGCCTGGGGGACTGCAGGAGCAGCCAGGAACATGAGCTGCTCGTAGTGGCTCTTTATTCAAGACAAATCTTGGTGGCAGAAGAAGATCTGGGGGTCCCGATGTGTATACAATTACTACACAGGCAAGACAAGGGCCCTCCAGATGGGGTATCAAGAGCAACAAGAGTTGATGTTAGTTTCCCCACCTGCAGCACCTGTTGTTACTAGGGACAAACAGCTGCTGGTGCCTTCTGCTATAAGAGACCAGTGGACAGGACCTCCCAAAGGTCCTCTCTTTGATGCAACTGATTTCACGATGTTGGTGATGGAGGCAAGCTAGCCATTATTTTTCACTAGAAAAGCATGTATCAATTTTGGACTCCTGCCCATGAGTCAAGAGGAAGCAGGCTGGCTGACAGGGTTTGGGCAGCAGAGGACATTCCTTACTAACTCCAGTCTGCTTTGGATCATCCTGGAAAACCACAAGGGCTTGGGAGGAGCCTGGGGATGGGAAGGGGACAGCAGGGACCCAGAGCACTGTCCCAGATTTGTCTGAAGCTCCGTGTGCTCTTGTGTGTTGATGTGGGTGGAAACAGCAGGGTCTCCCAGATCTGGTCTATCCTTTGTGGCCAATTGCTTGCTCAGTCACCCTCAGACTCAGAGATCCGCCTGCCTCTGTCTCCTGAGTGCTGGGATTAAAGGCGTGCGCCACCATGCCAGGCCACCCTGCAGTTCTTAAGTGTATTTCCTATCTGACGTACCCAGCAATACCAGTAGAGTCCTAACTTGGGATGAAGGGGACCTAGTCACCAACTGTATCCCAGGCCTTGGATTACAACTGCTACATACTAACTCATCAACTGTCCCAGAAGACCATCTTGTCTATCATTGCGGAGGCAGAAGCTCAGAGAGGTTTGGTGACTTATTTGAAGGCACACATCCAGGAAGGCACAAGCAGATCCCAGGCATGGGTAGGGACAGGAGCTCCAAGCTGATGAGGGACCGGGTGAGTAGAGGGTCACAGAGCCCTATCCCCACCCCAGACCATGGTTACAATGCCGGAAGAGGGGTTCTCCTGACCTGCAGCCCTGCTCTCCTCTACCACTCCCAAGATTATAACTTCATGTCCCTAGCCTCTCTGCTACTCGTTAGGGGCTCTTGTGGCATCCCCGTCTATGGCCCATCTTGTGTTCTGAACAGTTCTGGGTGCTACACAACCATTTTACAGCAGGAGACACAAAGGACATGAAATCTGGTGGCTTTCTTAAGGGCACAGTCACCTGTGACCAGAAGCTACGATGGTCTTGTCCCAAAGCCCATCCAGCCACCACAGAATATCATACAGGGTAGTCGTGTCCTCTGTGGGACTTTTTCATGTCTCACTCTGTTAACATCCTATAATCCTCTGGGGGACCCAGTGAGATGCCACTCCTATAGACCTGGAAACTCAGTCAAACAAGTCACCCTGGGAGATGTCATTGCTCTGCAATATGGGGGGAGGTGGGCAGGGTTGGTAGTCAGCTCAGTGCTTTACATTGTCCTGAGCAGAGAAAGCAGGAGTGGGGAGACCGTGGGCTTTGGTGCAGTGAGATTTGGGGGAAAGATCTGGAAGTTCTGACTGTCTTCTGTGTGCCAGACACCCCTGTTTCACTGGAAAACCTTCTTGTTTATCAGGAATAAATCCAAAACTTGGAGGCCATGTTACACCTGTCACCTGCTGGTGAGGGAGTCAAGATTCTCCTAGCATGGAACCCTGGAGCCCTTTGGAAAAGCCAGGGCAGCCTGCATGTCCAGCCTGGCCCATGCGGGGAGACTAGCTCCTACCTCGAAGCCGCCTCCTTCCTTCTCTGTGTATGGTGAATTACTGAATGAAAATTCAAAGCCAACTGTCAATGGCAAGAAGTGGGAGGAAGGAAAACGGCAATTAGGAGCCTCACCTCATTTCCACAGTGTGCTTTAAGCTCCCCATCAACAGGCAGGAGAGACAACCTGGCTTCGACCTGACTGGGATCCCACTGGCTTTCTGGTTCTCTCCAGTAGGCCAGCAGGTTCTTGATGCAGCCAGGCCAAGCAGGGAGGCCCCAGCATACCAGCCTGGGACCTCAGAGCTGTCTGCCAGGGGCCAGGGAGGCTCCATTCCCTAGAGAAGTCGCTTCCAGCGGAATGAGCGGCATTACAGAAAGGAAACATTAACATCATAATTATAATTCTGCTTATTTAATTAAGTTATTAAATAGGCCTAGCCTGGGCAAGATAGAAAAACAACCTATAGTTTCATTCTAATCGCTCCTCTCAGGATGGAATTAGAGCCTTTGCGAAGGGACTGGAGCCAGAAGCCAGGAGCTGTGCCAGGCCTGGGGTCCGGATGGGGTGTCAGGTTGGGCTGTGGGAATGAAGTCTCTGGGAAGGTGGCTTGGGACTGACTGTGTCCCTGAACCTGGCATGCCACAGGTGCTTGGGCAGTAGCTGGGGGTGGCTGAGTAGGGGATATGGAAGGAGACAGAACCAAGTAGTGACCTGAGACACCCAGAGGACCATCAGCAACCTCTCCCTGAGACTGGCTTATGCTCTGGCCTCTTACATAGTGGACAGTGGCATTCATCCTGGCATAAACTCTGACCTTCTCTTCTTCCTGTCTGTCCCAGTCATCTGATGGCTGACACCTGGATTAGCAGTTCCCACTTGTCCCCAGGCCCCAACAAGGCAGCTGACAATGTGCTTCCAACAGGAACGGGCTTCCCAAAGGAGGATGAAGACATCAGGGTCTCACTCCATGTCTGAGGCCTGGAGGCCAGGCCCAGGCAAGCCTCTGCTGAGGGACTCAGAAGGGCGCTGGCCCCAGCAGCCTCTAGATCCGGCTGCATGTCCTGAGCTGACAGCTGCCTGCAGGCTCTGTGCACAAGGTCTCGTCAGACAGGAAGTACCTCGTTCCAGCTGGCAGGCCCTCATAGAACAGTCCAAGCTTTGTAAGGGTGGACAGCTGTGGCAGTGGGAGCTGTGGGAGGAAGGCCAGTGGCATCTGCTAGTAGGTGGAGGAACGAGGGTCCTCCCTGAAAGTAGAGCCCCTCAAGTATCTGGTGAGGTATAAGAACTGACTGGGGAAGGGCCATGGAGGAGAGAGGACTGTCCATGGGGAAGAGAGAGAGGCTGGACCTCCAGTGTCTCAGCTCCCCTCTACAGCAAAGGAACACTTTCACTAAGACTTACTGAGGCAGTCTGGAAAGCCACCAGCCTATGATGAGGAGTGAGTGTGACAGCTCACCCATCTGTCACCCAGCAACTATACTATACTCATGCATCATTCACTATCTATCCATCCATTCATCCACAAATCCATTTATCATCTATCCATTCATGCATCTACTATCTATATCCATCCATCCATCCATCCATCGTATACCATCTATCCGTTCACCATCTGTACCATCCATCCACTCATCCACCCATCATTCATCCATCATCTATACCCATCCATTCATGTATTCACCCACTATCCATCCATCTTTAATCCATCCATCCATTACTCATACATCCATCATATATATATATGCATATATATATATATATATATATTCCATATATATATAATCCATACAACCACGCATATATATATATATATATATATATATATATTCCATATATATATAATCCATACAACCACCCATCCATCCAACATTTGTACAAGGATTTGCCAGGTTATCTCCTCTACCGGGCTTCAGATAACCAAAAATCATCAAACTGTCCTTGCCCCCTTGTGGACCTCCAAGTGTGTGTGTTTAAAAAAGAGCAGTTGACAGAAGATAAATCTCCATGATGCTTCAATGAAGGCTGGAAACTGGGAGGATGTGGGCTAACTGTTGTGAGCCCCTGTGACTCATCCGAAGTCTCTGGCTATCATTTTAAGAGCAATGGTGAAGTAGATAAGTCATGAACTGCTGTAATATTGGATAAGGTAATGTCAAGGGGCATTCAGCACAGAAGGTGCTTAATAACAGTCACCTAGATTACTAGCATTGCCGTGTTGTTACTATTACTAACTGTCTGGGGTGAGAGTGGGTAGATTAGAGATGATTTCTCAACATGGGGCAAATGAGGCTAGACCTTGGGGTATGAGTAGATGTTCACTGGGTACTGACCATGAGTTTTCCAACTAACAGCCCCCATTCATACCAAACTCATTTTCATCTCTACAACAGACTTCTTGGCCCATGCCTCCTCCATCTCCATGGAGACCAGCTCTACCCTACCTCCTCCAGGAGGACTCTTACCTACTCCCAGCTCTACCTCACCCCATCTCTTGCCTTAGCATACAAATCAGACCTCCCCCCCACCATGACCACACCATGAACTTTATAATGTCAGCAACTTTTCAGGTTGGTGCATAATCTTTTCTAATCCCTCAGTGGCCCAGGAATGTGTGGACCCATGTAAGAGCAAAGACAATCTCCTGGGACATGGTCTGGTCTGCCCATGAGGGTAGTGTAGTTCGTGCCTGGACCAGCTCATGGTGTGGAGAAAAGAGGCAAAAGAGGACAAGGTTGGGGACAGATGGATGTGTGGATGAATGGAATGATGGATGAGTGAATGGGTAGGCATTTGTTGCATGGATGAATGGATCAGTAAGTAGGTAGATGTTGGTTGGTTGGTTGGACAGATGAGTGAATGGATGGATGGGAAAACGGGAGATTGGTGTGTGGAAAGATATTAGTTGGTTGGCCAGGTAAATGGATGGAAGGAAATATGGGGGAGTGACTGGATAGGTGACTGTTGGTTGGATAGATGGAAGGGATGGGCAGACGGATGAATGGAAGGATAGATGGGTGGAAGCACACAGAGTTGGGGGATGGGTGGGTGTAGAGGTGTAAGACTATGTAGCTAGATGGATCATATAGAGGGTGGATGCAGAGTGGAGATGGATGGGCAGAGGATGACAACAAAAAAGGCTAGTTGGGTGCATGGCTGATGGGTGGATAGATGGATGACAGAATGATAAGCAGGTCATTAACTAGGTCCGTGAATCAGAGAATTAGAATTTGGAGGTGGGGGATTGTGTAGATCTACTCAACTGAAATAACTGATCAGTGTCTCCCAGTTTGTTGCTGTAGGAAATTGTGTGAGGGGCTGGGGGATGGGGCACCAGGAGCAGGGCATGGGCGCAAGGCACAGTCTATGCTCTGGCCCATCTTGGAAAGCAGTTGAGAAGTTAAAATATGTACATAAATACAACAATGTATTCAAAGTGACAACTGCTTGAAGATGTGATAGAATGGCCAGTCTGGGATGCTTCAGCTAGAGGAGTGCATAGGAGTGCCTGAGTTGGGGGTGCCTTTGCTCCACTAAGATCTGAATGAGAAGCAACCAACTGCATGAAGGTCTGGGCAACACATAAGAACAGTAGACATGAAGGTCCCAGGCTTACTCATTAACAAAAGGCCTATTGCATATATAGACAGAATCAGAAAAGGGAATTGAAATCTGAGATGACAGTATAATACAGGACAGGGACAGTCACTCAGGGCTTCACAGGCCATGTAAGAGCCATGGGTAAGTCTCACTGTGAGGTAGCAAATGCAGGCTGACTTGGGACCTGGCTGTGGTGGGGGAAGGGAAGAAGGATGACTCCCTAGTGTTTGAGCAGCTGGAAGACAGGCTCAACAGCCATTCAGGAAGCCAGAGGAGACTGCTGGGCAAACATGTAAACTCAGAGCCTAAGGGGGAACACCCAGGCTCTGGACCAGTGCCCAGGGCTGGAACCCCAAGTTCTTCAATCACCTAGATTGTCTTGGTAAGTCTCTTTACTCCTTGGATCACTGCACCTTCTCTGGGAGAATGGAGTTTCAGGTGGTTGGAATGTTCCAGTACACCCCTTTTTGACTGCATGCGTGCGTAGCTGTGAATTGTATCTCCATGATTAACCGCCTGTCAGAAAGAAAGGCTGGGGCTGGTTGTGCTGTTGCTGTGGTGACAGTGTTGATGATGATGTGAATCTGAGGGTTATTTTTAATGAGCAATGGGAGGGTGTGAGATGTGGCAGTGTGGCGGTGATGATAGGTGGTGACAATTGATGTGGTGAAATGGGATATTTGTGGTGGATACGCCATGGGAGGTCTGGCGGGAGGATACTATTGTCCTTGGAATGGTGATAGTGCTATTTGGATGGTGACTGTGATGAGCTGATGGTGATGATGATGGTGCTACTGGTGGTGTGATGGTGGTGGTGTCGCTGGTGATGCTGGTGATGACGGTATCGGTGGTGGTAGTGGTGGCAGTAGCAGATTTCACTAATAGAGACAGAGATGCACAGTGACATCTCACAGCAGATCTGAGGGTGAAGTAGTGAAAGGAAGCTTGAAGTTGGCCTCTGAGTTGTGGTCCCTTTTTGCTCTACCCGGTAACCTGGGAGACTTGCTCTCTCTGGTCTGCATCTCCTCATCATGGCAGGGTATGGGTGTTGCCTCCCTTCTGGGAAGGCTGGGGATCACAGTGATGGAGGCCTGGGGTAGCTGGAAGGTCTCTGGGTGCTGCCCATGGCCACTGCTGTAGATTGTGGCATCTGTGATCTTCGGTGGCTGGTAACCTGGGAGACTTGCTCTCTCTGGTCTGCATCGCCTCATCACGGCAGGGTATGGGTGTTGCCTCCCTTCTGGGAAGGGTGGGGATCACAGTGATGGAGGCCTGGGGTAACTGGAAGGTCTCTGGGCGCTGCCCATGGCCACTGCTGTAGATTGTGGCATCTGTGATCTTCGGTGGCACTGGCTCTGACCATTCCCAATGGCAACATCTTTTCCTTTGAAGAACCGCGTACCTTTTCTGGTCCCCTTAGTGTGGTTTGGAGGGGTTGGTAGTCTGAGGACTCTTCTACTCTGACCTTTGTCACAGGGTAGGCATGTGACATGGACTGGGCCGAAGATCTCTCCCTGTGACTTTTCTACCCAGCCAGCAGGGGGTGCTGTCACTTGGCTCAAGAGCCACGGGTGCCAACTGTCATCAGTGTTACCCAGGGAAGGGTGCCTGTCTGCAACTGATGATACCAGAAGAAGCAGAGACACGAACAACTGAAGGAAGATCTGGAGAGGGGAAGATACATGGAAGAAGACAACCAAGGAATGGCTGCAGAGAGAGCCCGGTGGCTTTGTTAGAGCTCCTGGATCCAGCTGTGCCTGAAGACAACATGGATCATTACCCTGAAGCTCTGAGTTCCATGAGCCACATAACAACCTCTGGGAGTGAGCTAGAGCCATGTGCTCTGTACACTAGCATCCTTC